GCTCCAAGTGGACAATATTTCCCACATTTTAAACCACGCGTGTGGGGCCAGGGTTAAGGTGGACACAGTGGCAGAGCTCAATGTTGCCCAATCGGGTGGGTTTCACCTGGACTGAGATGGCACAGATATGTCTCCCGCAGTTACAATGACAACTGAGTATGTTTTTTTCTCGAATAGTGGTTTTGAAACGCCCACTTAATTTTGCGACTAGATTTGACTGAGAGGACAGACACTCTTTCAGATGGATTTCTGAACATGTCATGGATTACGTTTTGCCCACAAAATACACAGTCGATTCACTTGACAGTATATGCTGGGAAGCGCTTTGAGACGTCTCGAAGATGTGATAAGGCGCTATATCAAATGCACGGATTATGGATTATTATCATTCTAATTTTCATTGACCTTCAATGAAGACAGATGTTGTATAAAAAAACCAATGGCACTGCTCAGGTTTAGACCAGAGAAAGACATTTGACTGCTCTCTTATAATAATAATAATGATAATGATAATGTGTCAATTTAAAAAAAACACTTATCCCTTTAAATTAAAATGAAAATGTACTTTAATCCCAGGACTGTTTTTTTTTCCAGTCAACAGAAGTTTAGTTTCAAACTTTGTGATAGTGGAGTACCAAATCTATACTCATTTTCCTTTCTCTCTCTCGGGACCTGCACAGTTATGAAGGAAGAGGTAAGTGGAACAAAATAAATGGTACCATCTGTGAGTGAAGTATTACAGGCTGTAAGGGGCAAATGTAACAAGCGACTGGTTAGCGAAAGATAGTAATTATCCTTTATACGGAAAGATAACTAATTTGGGTCAAACTTGCAGTATTTCTTAACAGATTTCTTCATAAGAAATGTGCAAATCCCAAGTTTCTCATACACTTGATGGTATTGAAGAATGCATTCATAATTCAGCAAGAAAAAGTCAATCCGTTCTTTATGGATTTATTCCCCGCTGTACCATGTTCCTTCTGTTGAACTCAATGATACTGTCTATTTATTTTTGATCAGCCGGGTGTCTGACCACATGTGGAAACACATCACCATGGTTAAGGGTATCCAGATCAAGCTGAGAGATCCATGCGTCCCACTTATATGGAAAGTGTCTATTTCAATGACCTCCTCTGATAACATGACATCCCAGTCAGCTCCGTTGGAGGAGCATTGCATTTGGGAACCAGACGTTTTCTCAATTTGAATTCCAGGGTACGCTCAGCCCTTTATCTTTCTGAGGTCAATGCAATCAGTACCGTGTCTAAATCGATTCTCTTCAGGGAGAGAGGTTTGGGGAGTGAGGAGCAGAATTTCCCAGGGACTGAACTGGCTCTGGGGAGACATGTTGGCAAAAGCTAAGCACAACTGCAGTAATCCAAGGCACTGTTGATTGTTGACAAGCCTGCTTGCTCATCAACAAGTATTGACATGAACTCAACCCTATGAGCCAAAGCCCTGATGCATGGGCGGTCTTTGTTGTTTATGTACCCAACTCTGGTTATTCCATAAGAATATTATCCCCTGTGGAAAAATGTTCTGCCAGATTTCTTTCTCATTCCAATTTCCTAATTTGTCATTCATGTCCTCTCAATATTTGACCTCTTTGACATAATCAGCCTGGATCATATAGTTACAAACAGCACGGAAACACGGTATTTGGTCCAATTAATTCATACCAGTGTTTATACACCACATGAAACCACTCTGTCTAATGCCTTAGGATCAATTTTGTCAGATTCCTTCTTGATTGTGTAAAATTTAAATTACATCATCACGAAGACTCAAAGAAAGAGTCTACATTCTAGATGGAGGTCATTTGACTCATTGATCTCCTCTCACTTGAATGGAACAAATCCAATGCTCTTATTTTTCCATCAAAGCTTAATTTCCCAGATAGACTCAGAATAATTTTGGTTGCTTCATGAAGGCATTAATATCTTTTCGATGTTTAGATGACTAAAACTGCACACAGTGCTTTAAATTGGGGCCTGATCAAAATGACCTCTTTTGATTTATACTCTATTCTTCTGCTGATGGAAGCCACACCTTGTGTTTTTTTTGTATTACAGTCCTGTACCAGTGATGGCAGTTTCATTGATGAACTACCAACAATCACTATATATCTTTCATAATCAACTGCCTACTGTATTCCACTGAAGGTATATTGCATTGTTCTGAACATGAGGCATCTTCAATTATAGGCAAACCACCTCTTGTTTTCATAGATATATTTGAGAAAAAAAGTTAAAAAAAACACGTTCTTGGTAATTAGAGTCAAAGTACACATTTCACACACTTTCCAAACAATATTATCCCCCTACAATAGCCTCCTCCCTGCCTACCTCTGCATCCTATTAAAACTTCACCAACCGGTCTGCTCTCTCCGCTCTGCAAGTACTGGCCTGCTCCATGTCCCCCCGCCCGGCCTGCTTCACTCTCGATGGTCAGGACTTCAGCCTTTGTGCCCCCCCATCCCCTGGAACTCCAACTCGGAGACCCTCTGCCTCACCCCCTCTCTTGCCTCCTCCAAGGCCCATCTCAGGACCTTCCTTTTCGATCGTGCCTTTGATCATCTTCCCTCCTCCACCCCGCCTTGCCCTCCACCCCTCTCTCATCCCAACTGGCAGTTCATGGTCCAGCGCCTTCAGTCTCCCTCTCTCTCACTTTGACTCCCCCTCTCTCTCTGTCTTTCTTTGATTCCCCCTCTCTCTCGCTCTCTCTCTCTCTCTCTCTCGTTAACCCTGTCTCTCGCTTTTTGACACCACCCCCCCCTCTTCTCCCTTAACCCTCCCTCTCTTTGACTCCCCCCCCCCCCCCCATCTTCCCTCTTTCTTTCTGTGTCTCTAACCGTTTACTATTAATAAAAACATACCTTTGAGCTACGAACAAAAAAATTCCAGCGAGGGTTTGAATTGCAACAAGATGTGACGCATTTTTGCTGGGTCCACAATTGACTTTCTCTGAGAATCTGACACTGGCAAAACTGCATCTGTTGCACTATTTTTCATTTCTTATTTCCTTTGCCTCCAATTCTGGCACTGTCTGCAAACTTAAAGAGATTTCTTTTTATTATGATGTCGTCATCCAAGCAAATTACATTGATGTATAATTCATCAAAGATCCAAGACCCGTCTGGCTTGTAAACCCATCACACCTTAAATAGTTCCCTTTGTACTACCTTTTTTTTTTGTACGGGATATAGAATTAATGAGGGTGATCTAGCTGGTTCGGTATCGCACAAATGGAGTCACAGATAATTGCATATGAAAGTCTGGTGAGTGGCTTCAAGAAGATGGTTAATTTTAATTCAGTCTGGAGTATGGAAATGAATGAATAGGATAACTAACATCAGGGGAGAATTATTCAAATATGTGTAAAGGAATGAATGCTCTGGCAGACTGCACCTAAAGTACTACATATAATTCTGCTTGCTGCGACATAAAGGGGCCCTAGAGGCAGAGCACAAGCGAGGATTAAAACTGATCTTCGGTATTTGCAGCATCAAACTATGAGAAACTATTAGATAAGTTAGAGCTCTCCAGTCTTGAAAACTAATGTTGTATGACCATAAAATGCTAAATTGAACAGTGAAAATGAACCCAGAATAAATCTTTCGGGACGAGAGAGGACAAGGAGTCCCGTAGCTTACTGGTTAGAGCACTCGCCCTGCAAGCGAGAGGACCTGGGTTCGATTCCCGGGCGGGGCGAAACATTTAGCGAGTTTCCATACTCCACACTGTTCTGTTTACCAAGTAGTAAGTAGGAACCCGGTTGGTTAGTCGATTGGCGGATCGCTTTTTCGGGGATAATAATTCCAAAATGCAGTCACTCAAGCCTCGACTGTTTGTGGGACGCTGCTGTGCGCAATTGGCTGCCGCCTTTCGCCCACAAAATATACAGTCAATTCACTTTACAGTGTATCCTGTGAAGCGCTCTGAGACGTCTCGAAGACGTGATAAGGCGCTCCATCAAATGCAAAGATTATTATTATGATGATCATCAAGACCCCCCACCCCCCGAAGATCAATGTAAGGGACGTAAATTGATTCAACAGCCTTTGGAGTTGAACCTAACATTCTCAGTCAAAGCTACAGTCCGTCCTAAAACACATAAGTGGTTTTGTGTCAAATTTAAAAATACAAACACAGTCCCCAAAGGGCTAAACAGTTTTTTTTTATGATGATTGATTGAGAGAATGGACCACCTTGTATCTGGTTAACATTTCATCAGTATTTTCTGCTAGTTTATATCTTACTCACCTCTAACATCACACTACCAAATAAACCCCACATAAAAATATGAAGTGCTGAATATTTTTTGCAAACAGTCTAACACTTGGTCGACCCATCACTGTTTCGAAATTTCAATCAATGAAAAGACACAACATACAAAGACACTCTAATTTTTTTTCTTTCCATAACAAACAGAGATTCCCTCCCACGTGGGTATTTTTTCCGACCACGGTTTTCTATTGAGTTTAAAATACAAGTGGGTTTCGTGGACTGTCTCTTTTTCTTTTAAAAAAAAGTCTTTTCACGGGTTGCCAGAAACGCCTTAATTGATTCTAATTAGCTGTGAGACGAGAATATGCTTCAGTCTAGGTTGCTGTTGTCTAACTCTTGCTTTTCTTCATGCAACTATTTTATAATCGAGGCTTTTCTGACTATCGATGGACCTGTGAATAGTTAACTGTAATCGCTGCTGGATCGAAACCTAGAATGCAGTAAGTAAAATCAACGAGATCAGTAGCTGTTGTTGTTCTTCATAATGCTCAGAGTACTTCAATTGATAACACTGCAGTTACATTGCCAACTATGTACACGTTTCCAATTTTTTCCTTCCACTGGATTCACAGATAAAAAAAAACTTTAACGGAACCAAACCAAACCCCCCCAAAAACGTTGTTTCGTCCCAGCTAGAATCTTTTCTGACAGCATCCAGCGATGCCTGTGTGGCATGTCAATGAAAAAAAAGTCTTCATTGGTTCAGGCAGCAGTTTAAAGGTAGAGGTAAGCAACCCAATAGACGAGATTAAATAGCAAAAACGACGTGGGAAAAAACACCCGTGAATATGTGTCTAATTTCAAGATGTCTATGTGGATTCTTCCTTTCCGCCACAATCCTGATCTACATTCCTCGTAGCAGCAGAAGAAACTCTGACAGTCTTTACCATCCAGGCATTCGTACACACAAGCATCTTCAAACTCCTGCCAGTACATAGAATTGTTAATGGTTATGACTGCGGAGGTGGGGCCCACATTCAGCACAGAATAGTTCTGGAATTTCTGAAAGAAAATCACATCAAAAATACCGTAAGCAGAACAAAAAAACATTGTCAAATCGTGGGCATGATATTTCATTTACCATCCAGATCAGCGACTGTAATTACTTGCTCTGATAATGGGAGAAAATCCCATTCTAAGGAAGGAATTTTCAAACTTTCTACGCTTAACAGAAAGTGGCAATATCACCCTCTACGAATTTGTAATAAATTATAAAGCTGATATGAATCTGTTTGGACACTCTTCCTCAGACTCACACGCAGACTTTCTCTCTCTGTCTGTCAAACCCCGGGTTCTCAGTCTCTTCTTTTCGCCCACAAAATATACAGTCAATCAATCCACTTTACAGTATATTCTGTGATGAGGGCAGGGGGGTAAGCAGGGAGGTCGAATGCACCGTCGAAGGGGAGGGTCTTGAGATGGGTCTTGAAGAAGACAAGGGACGGGGCGAGGCGGAGGGACTGTGGGATGGAGTTCCAGAGGGTGGGGGCTGAATGGCAGAAGGCCCACTCACCAGCGGTGGTGCAAGCGAAGCAGGGGACTTGAAGCAGGTCGGAGCCCGCTGAGCGGAGGGAGCGGGCAGGATGTTAGGGAGTGAAGAGGTCGCAGACTTAGTGGGGAGCAAGACCATGGAGGGCTTTGAAAGTGAGGACCAAGGTCTTGAATTTTATCCTTATTTGATGGGAAGCCGGGTGAGTCGGACGAGGATGGGGTGATAGGGTCATGGAGCCTGGTGCGGGAGAGGCCACGGGCTACAGAGATCTGGATGATCTGCAGTCTATGAAGAGAGGAGTTGGGAAGGCCGACAAGCAAGGAGTTTGCATAGTCAGGTCTGGATGTTATGAATGTGTGGATAGATTTCCCATAGAGGAAGTGAAGGCAGATTGCGTCAACAAATTCAAGAGGAAATTAGATTGCATTTGGTGAAGGAATCATCTGAGACAAATTGTCAGACAGCCAGGGCAGAGAGGAGCAAGGAGAATAATCCACACTTCTAATGGATTGAACTACAAGGACAGACTAGTATGCCCGGGCTCTTCAGCTTTGAAAAGAGACGCCTCAAGGGATACTTTATGTTAAATGGGTTTGAAGAAGTAATTACAGATAAATGCTTTTAAAATATGTCAAGACAGTGGGATAGGTTTAGGATTATAAAAGGCAATTACATGACCGACACGTAGAAATATTTCTCTACACATAGGATAATTAATGACAAACAGATTATTAGGAAGGATGGTTGAGGCCAGGATTCCAGACTCATTTAAGAAACAGCTTGATCCCATAATGGGATGATGCTCGGTTAGTTCTTGGAAAATGAGATTAAATTGGCCAAAGATCTTTCTTCAATTTGTAATATCCCTGATGGCGATTTCTTATCCTATGCATTCATGCGTTTCTATGCGCGGGTGGAAGATAAATGTGTGCAGTCTCAATACCCTGACAAACAGTGTTTGCTCAGGATTCAAATTAAAAGCTGTTCTCAAGTGCAGAGAGATAATTATGTTGGTTTTGCAAGTGAGGACAAGATGTGCTCTTCCAACCATACGATTTGTGCAAAATAGTACATGTCGGAATACCTGGCCAGCGGTTCATCCACCAGAGCCTAAAGCCGCTGAGGAAGTGCTTCTTAGAGGTGGCTCATTTGCACCTGCCTTGTGAATCTGACACAGCACCAAGGAATCAATACTGAAGGATTCAGAACAGCTTTGCAATCACAGCGGGGTGACTGCACTCTTGAGAAAGTGGAACATTGAGGTATCAATTTGTCAACTTCCCTCTCACTGGTTTCCAACTTTTTAAATCTTGTTCTGCATTATTCAACTTGTTCCAGTTTCTTTCTCGCTTTCTGTGTCTTACTTGTGATCTGTTTTTTTTTCTGAGCTCCGCTATTAATATGAAGAAGTTGGATCTTTGACACCACCTTAGATCATTAAAGACTTGCAAGAATCTTGTCTATCTATCCTTGGCTCTGTCACTTCCCGTTACTAACTTAACTGCCCAATACTAAAAAGGTTTTTTTTTGGAACTTAGATGGAAAGACATCCTTCCCATAAAGTGCCACATATTATTGCAAATAATAGTAATCCTTGCATTTGATACAGCACCTTATCACATCTTTGAGACGTCTCAAAGCGCTTCACAGAGTATACTGTAAAGTGAATTGACTGTATATTTTGTGGGTGAAATACAGCAGCGAATTGCACACAGAAGTGTCCCACAAACAGTCGTGGATTGAGTGCAAATTATTATTATTATTTTTGAATGGATTACTACCCCCGGAAAAGTGATCCATCAATCGACTAATAACCGGGTTCCTACTTAATGCTCGGTAAACAGAGGCATGTGGAGTAAGGAAACTTGCCCAAGGTATCGCCCTGCCAGGAATCAAACCCGGGTCTCACTTGCGAGGCGAGAGCTCTAACCACTGAGTTACCAGACTCCAAACTGAACCTATTCTGGCCAATTAGATCTTAAGAGCTGTTGGTTCTTTAGTTAAAGCTCAAGAGTGTCGACAAATGGCATTTGTAAACTGGAATTTGAAGCATTTTTATTCTTTCAACTCATGATTGACAGTGACAGTTTGCAGTTTGCCAACGGGCAATTTCTCAAAGGCCCAAAAGTTCCACAAATGGGCCAGAAAGTAAAATCCTGGCCAAAACTATTGGGGTTGCTCTTGGTATTTCCATTATTATAGTATTTCCATTTTGCTCTTAGGCATTTGCTCAAGGATTTTACTTACATTGCTTAGGCATTTTAATGCTTGAAATATAGGAGTAAAAATTGCAAAGTTATGTCAAACTTGCATAAAATATAAACTCTTCAACAGGACTTGGGCAGATAATTTATACGATTTATACAGATCCAACTTTTGCGAGTTTTACTGTATAAAAGATGTTACATGGGACAATGTGAACTCAGAACAATATCTCACATAAAGCAAGGCAGCAGTTCAAGGTTAAGTACAAGTACAAAGCACAGGTGTGGGGTTTCATTGGGCAATTTTACGAAAGACACCAGATATTTTTCTTTAGATTGAAGGCAAGTGAGTTGAGACTAATTACCACGTAGTGGAATAAAATTTGCAGCATTTCACAACACGTTTCCTATGTTAACCTGTAGCTCAGTGGTTAGAGCACTCGCTTTGCAAGCGAGGTACCTGGGTTCAATTCCAGGCAGAGGGCGAAACCTTGGGCAAGTTTCCTTACTCCACACAGAGCCTAATAATAATCCCTACAAAACCCCAAACAATAATAAATTGGTCATTTTCAATCCACGACTGTTTGTGGGACATTGCTGTGCTCAATTGGCTGCCGCGTTCGCCCACAATTATACAGTCAATTCACTTTACAGTCTATTCTGTGAAGCGTTTTGAGACGTTGAGAATACGTGAAAAGCGCTCTATCAAATGCAATGATTATTATTATTATTATTATTAACGAACACAAGGCAAATGTTAAGGAACGCCACAATCCATTCTTACTTTGCCCAGGTGTTAATCTGACCTGACCTGACAGTCAGGCTCAGTTGCCCACTCCTGTGGGCTAGCATTCAAAGCATTTACCCCCTACATCTTCTGATGTTCTGCTGTTATTGAGGCAGATTATCAGGGTTAAAAAAAAAATGAAACAACAGACCATTTTAAAAATAAATTGGTGGAACAGGATCGATCGGCTGATTGACCCACCGCCTCCTGTTCCTTTGGTCTTAAACTTACCGACTTTTTCTTTTTTGTACAAGTGGGTTTCTTGCAGCAAGTGTAGTAATTGAGTGCGGCGTACTCCATTAAAGCCGCAAAGACAAACAAGAAGCACACGGTGACGAATAAATCCATGGCGGTGACGTAGGAGACCTTCGGGAGCGACTTTCTTGCGATGCTGCTGAGGGTTGTCATGGTCAATACTGTGGTGATACCTGTTTCAACAAGAGAGATTGGTGCAAATGAATGCACTTTGGAATTTGTTTTCGATCCACTTTGTAAAGTGCACGTTTTGATGTTAGTCACATAGAAAATACAATATCACAAAATGCAACCAGACCGGCCTTTAATTAGGTTTGATAGTGAAAACACACACACACACACAAAACCCTTTCTTATCATCCTGACTTCTCCACAGCAGTTTGGGCTGAAGTCAGGTATGTTCCCCATTGATTAATCTTTCCCTACTGATGACCGAAATGCTTCTCTGCGTGAAGGATGTGGTATAATCCAAATTGTAGTTGTATTTGCTACTCCCAGTGATTAGAATTTTCTACTGAAAAGAATCCCAGTGTAATTTAATCCCATTTTAGTTGATGGGTGGCAATCATGGGGGGCCGAACCCAAAATGATGGATCATGGAGAACACAATTGGCTTCAGGCCAAATCCAAGTCAAAGGGAGGGGAGCAGAATGGACACTTAAATGCCTCTCAACTAAACACAGGTTGGGATTGCATATTTTAGCAATGATAAATGTCGTGTCACACACTGAATTTTCCATCCCAAAGAAACAGTTTCAGACGGGAATGGAACATTGGTCGATGAAGACTCCATTTTCATAAAGATTCTGTGTTGTGAACTCTTTGTCGAACTTCCACCGTAGCGTGCTGCCCATGTAAATATACAGCAGGAGTGTGTCAATACTGTGCCATACAAAGACATAATTACCACGTGCTGCATTGCAAAATATCTTTCTCTTTTTTTCTCAACAATAATGGCTATATTTACACGAACAAATATTGAAAACTACTTTGCGATGCAGATAGATAATGATGGTGTTATATAAGTAAGGTCAGGATGTGTGTTTAGACAACACAACATAAGTAAAATAGTACAGTTCAGTATAGACTTGCTGGCTAACGTTTCAGCTACCATCATCTAAAGCGCTGGAAAAACTGCTAACTGGAGGTGGCTCATTTGCAGCTGCCCTTGTGAGCTTGGAAATTGTACTTGGAAATCAATACTGAGCTATCAAAAGAAATTTTACAATCACTGCAGTGTGACAATGTTCTCGACTGTAGAAAACGGCCATCAGGTCTCCTGCTAGTTTCCAACTTCTTTGAAGATACATATGCCACCTATTAGTGTTGGTGGGTGAGCCTTCAGTCACTTTGCCCCCGACCTGTACAATTCCCTGTCTCTGTCCCTTTGCCTCGACCCCTCTCGATCTATCTTCAAATCTCATCTTAAAACCTACACCTCTTGAAACCTGCCTCAGATCATTCCCTCTAGCTTTACCACCGTGAAGCTTTCCAAGATATTGTCCTGTAAGTCATATCAATGCAAGTTGTTTAAGTTTCATAAGACAATAACACATACACGTCCGTCAGGTGCCCAGCCAGCTGTCACATGCTTTGAGACATCCTTCCCGGCACGAAAGGTACTATATAAATGTGAGTTGTATTGTATCACGTCATAATACAGTAAACACGGATAACTTATCCCTGGCTTAACTCGTGACTATCACTTGAGTCGTTCTGCCATCAATATCCTGTCCGCTTCCCATTGAAACGATTATCAAGGGACATTGCTTTACTTGTCAATCCGTTTAACATGTAACTGGTCACATTGTAGAGATTCTTGTCAAGTGCTTCTAGTGTAAAAATTTGAAGGCGCGTTTGAAGAGGAGGGTCTTGAGACGGGCCTTGAAGGAGGCAAGGGACGGAGTGAGGCGAAGGGACTGTGGGATGGAGTTCCAAAGGGTGGGGGCAGAGAAGCTGACCGCTGACTGCTGATGGTGGGGTGGGCCGGGCGGGGGACATGGAGCAGGCAAGGACGAGCATTTTGAACTCTAAACCCTAATAGACTAGTGGCTTCTGCGTTAGTCACAAGCACTCATCAGAAGTTGCATGCACACATGCTCAGATATGGTGTCTGTGGCGAGTTGGTGCTGGATGAGCGAGTGAGCGAGAGAGCGAGAGAAGACGGCGCTGAGCAACCTGAGAGCATAAGGTGAGGACCTATGGCTAACTTGTCACATTGGATAATTCGTGCCTCTACCCTTTTCCCTCGGAATGACGAGTCATCTGGAGTTTACTGAAAACAAAGGTAATTGATGAGGTAAAAAGGGAATGAGTCTTCTTTCCTCCAGTTGAGGAACTCAGCACATGAGGACATAATCTTAAAATGATCGTAAAGTTGAATAAAAGTGAAAACAGCAGACACTTCATCTCATAAAGGCCTGTGAGAATGTGGATGCGATTCCCCACATGGCCATAGCTAGAAAATCAATTGAGGGGGAAGAGTAGTTTAAGAGATAAATCAAACCTTTCCATGAGAAGTAAAGTTATCAAGGGCTATTAGAAAGATAAAGAGCTGTCGTGATCTAATATAGTGGCAGAGCCTGTGGGTGAACAGTCAAATTCTGATTCTATCTTCGTTAATTAATATATTTGTGCTTTAACTAAGCCAGGGTGATTCAACTGATTCATTCAAGGTGATTTATTCTGCATACCTGCCAATCCATGGACTGTAGGATTTTAGTCCCTATGTGAGGAAAACTCCATAGTCTAAAATAAATAATAATAATTTTATCTTTCAATCCATGACTGTTTGTGGGATGCTGTGTTTCGCCCACAAAATATACGGTCAATTCACTTTACAGTATATTCTGTGAAGCGCTTTGAGACGTCTCAAAGACGTGATAAGGCGCTGTATCAAATGCGAGGATTATTATTATTATTATGGGGATCAGAGATCGTGCTCGTCTGTTTTCAGGGTGATTGAGAGTGCATTTGTAGTATGGGACTAAACCATGATTTGAATGTAAGCACAAACTACACACTTTCATTCAAATTGCAGTTCTGTCATCTCACATTGCACCTATTTGCCTTGCATTAAAAGGCCCTAAAATTTTTGAATCATCACTGAAGTGCTTTATTTTAAATCGTCATATAATAATAATAATCCTTGCACTTGATACAGGGCCTTATCACGTCTTCGAGGCACTCAAAAGCCCTTCACAGAATATACTGTGAAGTGAATTCACTGTGTATTTTGCGGGGACCAATTGTGCACAGCAGTGTCCCACAAACAGTCATGGGTTGAGGGACCCAATTATTATTAGTAGTAGTTTTTTTTGAACAGATTATTACTACTATTGTTAAGAATGGTACCCAGAAGAAACTTGCGCTTTTATAGTGCCCATCACATTTAAGGAGGCTTAATAGCAGTGAGATTTGATGTCGATCCGGAAAGAGAGCAGAGGTGGTCAAAGAGGAAAGTCTTCGGGTGTGATTTGAAGATGGGCACTAAGGGGGCAAAATGAGGGATTGAGGTAGGGAGTTCCAGAGATTGAGGGCATTGTGGATGAAAGAATGGCCGCCAGTGGTGGAGTGGAGAAGATCTGGGATATACAGAGCACTTGAGGCAGCGAGCGAAGGCAGTGAGTGGTGGAGTGGGGTGTGAGAAGATTGGAGAGGTAGGGAATGCCAGAGTGGAGTGATTTGAAAGTGAGAGTGAGGTTCTTGGCAAGAACTGGGATGATGGAGCCTGGCATGGGTGAAAACATTTGGACTTTGTTTATGGTGAACGTGGGGAGACTGGTGAAGAGTGGATTGGGAAAATCAAGGCGGGAAGTGACAAAAACAGTAGCTTTGGATGAGAAGGGCGAAAGCTGTCGATGTGGCAGAGTTTCATGGGATCTGTTAATGTCAACCTGACTGGGGTGATGGAACCATCTGAAGTATGGCACTTCCAACAATTCAGTGCTCTCATAGCAGTGTATTGGGTTGTAAACCTAATCTGTGAGCATTCACTAAAGTTAGTAGGCAAACAAACACTGCCTGACAGTATCATTCTGAAAAATAAATGAGTCTGTAATCCATCAGTGCAGAGATCAATCCACATTTGATGTTACAAACATTTGACTGTCTTTCAAATGAAAATCCAGTTAAACCCTTAAACACCAGAAGGTCCAAGGTAATTCTTCCAAAGCAATTAATCACTAGATCATAAGAGAGGTTCGAATCAAGAAGGTCGTTCACCCCATTTGTTCTCATCCTTGCAGACCTAGAGTGCTATCTTTCCTATCACAGCACCAAGCTGCTTCTTTTCAAATGAGCCCAGAGTCCTAGCCTTCCTGGTGACTTGTTTGACATTAATTCCCCTCTCAATAAAGGAATAAGTGGTTTCTGTCCCATAAAATGCCCTTTGACACCCTAAACCCTATTTAGGAACCTGGTTGTTAGTCGATTGGCAGATCGTTTTTCCGGGGGTGATAATCCTTTCAAAATAAATAAAAATAATTTGGTCACTCAATCCACGGCTGTTTGTGGGACACTGCTGTGCGCAATTGGCTGCTGCGTTTCGCCCACAAAATATACAGTCAATTCCCTTTACAGTTTATTCTGTGAAGCGCTTTGATCTTTTGGGATGTCCTCTCGACATGAAAGGCGCTGTACAAATGTAATTTGTTGTTGTTGTTGTCTCGAAAACGTGTTAAGGTGCTGTACCAAATGCAAGGATTATTATTTGTTATGATTAAACCTGTGTCCTCTAATTCTCCTGTTTTGATGAATCTGAAAGTATTAAATGCCAATGCATTTAAAATATTCCTTGTTGCTCTCCTCAGCACTATCTCTAGAGCCCAGGAGTCCCCTTAATATTGTGGCGAGCAGAATGCCTTACATACTCAATGTTATTCAGCTTACCCCTTGCCAAGCTCTATCCCCGTCATATCCTTCTAATTAATACCTTTAGGGTATCTGGTTGGAAATGGAATCGAGGATTGTAGGAACAGATACACTTAGAGTGTTTTATCATTCGGTAGTTAATTTTTTTGTCACCTGAGTGATAACCGTAATGGGATTCATGTATGCTAAACCTCTAAAATGATCAAATTGAGCGTGAAAAACAATAGTATTGAGCTCTGGGAACATTGGAGATATATTGCCAAGCAAGGCAGCTGTTGAACAATGATTAATGTTGGATAAAACGCCAATTGGCCGTTGGTAAGACCATATATTCACAACCATCTTCCTTCTCTCTCTGTCCTGATTCCACATTCCCTACCTTCCCTCTCCCTGCTCAGTTTAATACTCTCTCTTTCTCTCTGTCTCTCCTTAGCCTCACTGATGATACTTCCACCTACCCTTCTGCTTCTGACAGTCTCGTGAAAAGCAGCATTGCAATCACACAGCAGTTTAATCTTGATGCTCTTTGTACTGTGGATAAGGTTGACTGATGAATTTTCTATTCTTTTCAACTGAGTACTGCAGTCTGCTGTATTAAATCAACACATGGAAAGCCTAAACCACCAGCTGACTAGAGATATGAGGCAGGTGGTGAATATTATGTTCAAAAGTTCTTATTCTTCAATCAATCGAACCTCTTTAGTATTTGGGAATTTAATTTGCACTTGTGTCACATGTCGATTAGTGGCTCGTCTCCCAGTGATCAAATCCAGTTGAGCAAAATTCATTAAATTAGGTGTAGTTTGATAAAAACATTAACTTTGGTGGAATTAACATGAAAATTGGCATTCATGACTTCATGACACAAGGCATTTACCATCTGTGATGCCCTTTTCCACAACAAGTTGATTAATTTCCATTTTTTTATAATCCTCTCCAGAGCCATTCCAGGCCAGATGTTCAGTCTGGTTTTACTGAATGAACCCATCTGGTTTTACAAACGCCACTAAAAATAAGTACAACAGTGAAAACTGACATGCAGTGTGATAACTATAATCATCATAATAATCCTTGCATTTGATATAGCGCCTTATCCCGTCGTTGAGATTTATTTTTTGAAGGAATTATTAACCCCCAGGAAAGCGATCCGACAATTGACTAACAAACGGGTTCCTACTTACTGCAAGGTAAACAGCAACAACAACAAAATGACATTTGTATAGCGCCTTTCACGTCGAGAGGACGTCCCAAGGCGCTGGACAGACAGAGTTACGGACCCGAGCTGGGGGTTGGTGAGAGTGGAGGGCAGTGGGGGAAGTATGGAGATCGAAAGCACGGTCGAAGAGGTGGGTCTTGAGATGGGTCCTGAAGGTGGTAAGGGAAAGGGCGAGGCGGAGGGACTGCGGGCTGGAGTTCCAGAGAGTGGGCACAGAGTGGCAGAAGGCCCGCCTGCCAATAGTGGGGCGAGCAAGGCGGGAGACGTAATCTGAGGCGGGTGGAGTAAGGAAATTTACCCAATATTTCACCCTACTGGGGAATCGAACCCGAGTCATCCCGCTTGGGAGGCGAGTGGTCTTGCCACTAAACTGCAGGATTTTATATTTTAGACTCTCGCTGAGATCAGGGAACTCAGCACAGAGAGCACAGAACCAGAGTTTCCTGGTCTGTATGGTTCAGCCACTCCCTGGATAAATTTGCTGAGCCATCAGGAATGCCCCAAAGCTTATATCTTAAAGGTCAACTTATCCAAAGCAAATGAACTACAGCTTGTTCTGCTGCTGGCAGCAGACGCATTGTCACTGATTCTGAACTAACAACTCAAGCGTGGCAGGATGTGAAATAAGGTCACTCCTGATAATTGGACTGTCTGCAAAAGAAAATTCAATCACCAGTTCACACTGAAGCCTGACGCAAAAATATGGGGTTGCCAGGCCTACGAAACTATGTGAAATTAGGTCTATCACCAGCAGTGTCTCACGTACATTTTTTGTAGTTTAGGAGCTAGGAATATATCTGCTTGCTTATTATAAATAGCAGGATGGTCCAATGTTTTGGCTGCTGAGGGCCATTGCCGGATTCGAGAAATTTCTGCGGACTGCATAAGCAATATTTTTGGGTTTCCCTTCCGGAACATTAATCCATAAGAATCATAAGTTGTGATTAAATTGGGCAACTGCATTACTTATTTTCACTGTGTGTCTGCATCTCTCTTTCTCTATCTGTGTGTCTCTATCTCTCACTCTCTTTACGTGTGTGTCTCTCTCTATCTCTCTCTCTGTATGCGTGGATCTCTGTATCTATCTCTCTCTCTGTGTATCACTCTCCCTGTTTCTCTGTATCTTTCATCCTGTATCCCTCTCTCTCTGTTTGTGTATCCCTCTCTGTGTCTGCGTGTGTCTCGTGATACCGGTTTAAGAGTGATTGATAGGTTCTGCTGTCTGTGCCACTGTTTTTCTGACAGAGTCAGACCGAGTGTGGGACTGTGTTCGCGGGCTGGAAAAAATCATCTCCTGGCCACCAGTTGGATTATCCTGACATACAGGATAAGTTTTACTAAAATTCACATACAGTTTGATCTTAAAATCAGAGCTCGGCCATTTAGAAGTGAAATCAGGGGGTAGTTTTTCACCCAATGTGTAGTGGAAATCTGGAACTCTCTCCCCCAAAACGATGTGGATGCTGAATCCATTCACATCTTCAAGACTGCGGTAGATAGATATTTGTTAGGTCAGGGTATTAAGGGATATGGGGCAAGGATGGGTAATGGGCTGAATAGCCCACTCCCATTTCTATGTTTCTATGTATGTGATATAACTAAGTTAAAGATCAGTTTGACTCTTTTTTTAAAAAATGCAAATGTACGAAAACACTAACGTAGGAACATAATATAATAAAATCCTTGCATTTGATATAGAGCCTTATCACGCCAGTGATACATCTCAGAGCTCTTCACAGAATATACTGTCAAGTGATTTGACTGTATATTTTGTGGGTGAACAAAAATATAAATATATAATAAAGATATTATTAAATATGAAATATTAAATGTATAATAAAGATACGACTGTTTGTGGGACATTGCTGTGCGCAATTGGCTGCCGCATTTCGTCCACAAATACACAGTCAATTCACTTTACAGTATAGTCTGTGAAGCGCTTTGAGATGTCTAGAAGACATGAAAAGCGCTATATCAAATGCTACATCAAATGCAGAATATATATTTTCCAAAGATCAACGCAGTGATATACGGAACTGAAAAAGATTGTTATGTTCTCTCTATCCCAAAGTTCAAAAAATAAATCCGACATTACTTTGTTCTCATATCTTTCAATCGATTTCTTCACCACACATAGCAATCTAATTCCCTCTTGAATTTGCTGACACAATCAGCCTGCACCACGTCTTTGGGTAGTCCATTCCATGTACTCCCCACTCTCTGCATGAAGTGATTTGAGTTTGATTGTATGTTGGATTTCTGATTTTAAGTCTGTGTTCTCTTGTTAATTTTTTTTGCCCACTGAAGCATCACAATCTTAAATCAAAATTTATACAGGAAACTATCTCCGCACTTGTCAGTTTCTATCTGTTATGGTCTGTGGGGTGTGGTTTAAATCTGCTGGTTCAAAGCAACTTGGGAACAAATGTTTTGTGCAGGACTTCCCCCTTCCCTCCCCGGCCCTCCACAGAATATACTGTAAAATGAATTGACTGTATATTTTGTGGGCAAAATACAGCAGCCAATTAATCGCGCACCGCAGCGTCCCACAAACAGTAGTGGATTAAGTTACCAATATTTTTTTAATTAATTGATTCTCTTGAAGGGTTTATTACCTTACATAAATCTTTTTTGAAGGGATCATAGGAATGGAAGTGGTATGAGATAGGGGCAGAAGTGGGCAAATGCGGCAAAGGTGATGAAAAGCAGTTTTGGTCACAGACTAGCCGCGAGGAAGAAATGAGAGCCGGGGATTGAACCAAGGTTGCGCATTGAATGGCCAGGGAGGATGAGTTCAGAGCCAGAAGTGAGGAGACATCAGGGGGAGCCGGGGTGGATTTGGCCTGTTGGAATTCAGGCAGAATTTACCCAGTTTCATAGCAATAGAATATATTTCTTGATTCACGCCAACTCCAACAACTTCACACGGAGGAAGGGAACTACTGTAAGGGGGAAATTTGGTATGCAATTATTTGCAATAAGCATTTTATGTCAATCGAATCACGTATCAATTTTATTTGTGTTAGTGTTTGACAAGTGAAATAGCAATGACCTTTGCAGTCAACTCTGTTCCCCAACATGTCAATGTGGAGCAGAGGATTCCAAACCTCAATATCAAGGCGACCTCTACTGTATACACGGTGTCCGGTCTTTTGTTTGTTTGCTTTCAAATTATAATAATTCAAATTAAGACGACGTTTCAGAAGGTTTAAAAATGTAAGACTGCAGCACTTTTGAGAATGATTCAATTCAATCTCAAGACCCTCCTGTTCGACCGTGCCTTCGGTCACCCTCCACCCCCCACCTCTCCCAGCTCGGGTCCAAATCCCCGACTGTCCAGTACTCCCGACATGAAAGGCCCTTTACCAGTTTAATTTTGTGTTGTATCGTTATCATAACTGTTAACTGTTGAGTATTAAGTATTATCCAGAACTTACCCAGTGCTGTCCTGGCTGGTGTTGCATCTTTCTTAATCCAAAACGATACCCATGACAGGACGACTGTCAATATGCACGGTATATAGGTTTGAATCGTGAAGTATCCCATTCTTCGACTTAAGTCAAAGTACACCGTCATGACGACATACTCTCCTGTGGAAAAGGGGAAAAAAAACAATGCTGCTGAAGTCATTTTTAATTTTTCATCTGCAGAATGGATAATAATAATCCTTGCATTTGATATAGCGCTTTTCACGTCTTCGAGACGTCTCAAAGCGCTTCACAGAATATACTGTAAAGTGAATTGATTGTATATTTGCGGGTAAGACACAGCAGCCAATTGCGTACAGCAGTGTCCCACAAACAGTCGTGGATTGAAGTGACCAGTTTATTATTGTACTTTTTTTCTTGAGGGATTATTATCAGGCGTGTAGAGTAAGGAAATTTTTGCCAGGGTTTTGCCCTGCTGGGAATCAATCCCTTGCTTGCGAGGTAAGTGCTCGAACCACTGAGCTACAGGACTCCATAATGCAAAATTATCTCATTATAAACTGATGCATAATTAGGATCCACATGACAAGGTAATAACAGCAACACCAGGCAGCCAGAGATCGATCAAACATGTATATACAAATGTAATTTGTTGTTTGGTTTTATACTAACCTACAGGAACTCAAACTAGATCACGTTGGATCCAACGTGACATGCATTTGTTTACTGCTATTAGTGACATCTTTACCCAGTTACTGTCTCTAAAATGGCGCAGAATTGTGGAAACTTGAGTTTCAGATGAACTAATCTGGAAGACAGGTCCGTGTAAGAACTGTAAGAATCTGGGCTCCAAATCAAGGCTGGATTTAAGAATATCCTACAATTCAATGTGATCTTAATCGTTGAAGCAAAAACGTTTTTCAGACCGGGTTGGATTTTAGGTGTCTGTTGTGAATCGCTGATGTAAAACTATAATCTAATAAGAATAATCTTTGCGTTTGCACCTTTGCACACCGGCTAGAGTTCTGAGACGCTACCTGGCGTGGAGGGTGCTATCTAAGTGCAAGTTGTTGTTGTACATCACCTTTCTCGTCAAGAGGATATCTCAAAGGGTTTATCGGCAAAGTTCGAGTCCATTTGCACATAAAAATATTTCATAAACAGCTGTGAAGTGAATGACCAAATTTATCTGAGGGATTGTTGGCCAGGACACTGGGAGAGAGACGATCCCTTCACTTTTCCAAAGGTGCCGTTAACGTCCGCTTGAGGCCGGAACTGTGTTTCATATCTCACCTGAAGGCTGACACATCCGGCAATGCAACACAGCCCTAGTACATTTGGAGACGGTTCTGACCAAGGATCGTGGACCTGAAATGTTGACTCACTTTCCTTTCTCCATAGATGCTGCCTGACCTGCTGAGTGTGCCCAGCGACTTCTGTTTTTATTTCAGATTTCCAGCATCTGCAGTGTTTTGTCTTTTGTTGTAGATATACGTAATGGCCATTTTTACCTGAGGTTCTTAAAGTACAACATTTGATGTGTTGGGGTAGTCAACAACAACAACTTGCATTTATATAGCGCCCTTCACGTGGGGAAGTATCCATTGTTTTCAACTTGGTCTGAGATTTCTTCTTCGAGTAACAAACTAGAAAAGATAGATAATGTTTCCTTCCCAGTATTTCAGATTCCCCACTACACATTGTCTCCACACAAGTTTAAGGCCAGCAATACGTACAAGTCTTTTCAAATATAACCATTTTTAGGACTAAGAAGGAGTTTTTAAGACAGGTGTTTGATTAGGGCAGCAACATGTTTAAAACTGTCATCAACATCTTGAAGACAGTTGCACACTCAAAGGACTTCAACAACATTGTTCAATGAAGAACATATTTCAGTTTGGGTAGAAATTACTGGAATTAATAATAATAATAATACTGGAATTAATAATAATAATTTATTATAGCAGCTTATCACATCTTCTAGTCCTCTCAAAGTGTTTCACAGAATATACTGTGAAGTGAATTGACTGTATGTTTTGTGGGCAAAACGCAGCAGCCAATTGCGCACAGCAATGTCCCACAAACAGTTGTGGATCAAGTGAACATATTATTATTATTTTTTTTTTGAAGGAATTATTACCTCTGGAAAAGGTGGCAGTAGTTGTGGACTTCATCAATGAGTTCTTACATCGGTTTAAACAGGAATCAATATCCTTTACATTTGTAGACAGTGATCTATAGCTTCCAGTTGTTAATAAGGAGCTGTTACTGTTGTGTACTCAGTCTCTATCTAATCTGAAATGTTAGATCTCCTTAAAAATGTATTACAACACTGGGAATAGTAAATTCTCACACAAGCTGTAGATTTTTCAACGTTTGTATGCTTGAGACATAAACCCAGAAGGTATTTTGCACTGAAATTATTTTCTAGCTGAGTATCCCTAATCCATAGACAAGAAAAACATGACATGGATGAATTGGACATAGTTTAGTGTGTTAGAGTGCTAAGGGTAAGTGGGTTATGATATACAGTGGTATGATAATAAGTATGTTGCACAACGTAGTTCATTCTTCAAATAAACACCTATTTTGTTTCTCTATCTCCTTTGCTGCTCTAGTTCTTTGTCATCCACAACCTTCAATTGCAATCATAAAAGGACACTTTTATGATGTTGAGAATCACACAATCTTAATCCTGTTTATCGTTTTGTTTGATTACAAGGTATTTCTGTGGCAGGCTCACTTTGATTTCAATTCACATTAATCAAGGACCTGTGTAGGGAAGATGTTAGTATATCGGCTTGGTTTGATTGGCTTCCATTGTGCTAAATGCAATCTCACCTACATATATAATTTAACATTTCTTGGAACAATATCGGCTATTCGATAAGCAGAGAGACATGGTGAGAGACAGTGACGTGGGCTTTGTGGTGTAAAGAAGGAAGGGAACGCTTTTCCGGGGGTAATAATTAATTCCAATTTTTAAAAAAATGGTCACTCAACCCACGACGGCTTGTGGGACGCGGCTGTGCACAATTGGCTGCCACGTTTCACTCCCAAAATATGGTCAATTCACTTTACAGTGTATTCTGTGGAGATCTTTGGGACGTCTTGAAGACATGATAAGGCGCTATCTCAAATGCAAGGATTGTTGTTTATGTAGTGGTGTATTTTATGAGGTAGTGGCAATAATGGAGTTCTGGCTCAAATAACAACAACAAGATTACATTTGTATAGCGGCTTTCACGTTGGGAGGACGTCCCAAGGCGCTGGACAGAGTACAGCATTTCAGACCCGAGCTGGGGTCAGGTGGGGAGAAGGGAGGGGAGGGGAAGTGGGGTGGCTGATGGCATGGTCGAAGAGGAGGGTCTTGAGGCAGGACTTGAAGGAGGCTAAGGAGGGGGCGAGGCGGAGTGAGTGGGGATGGAATTCCAGAGGTTGGGGGCAGAGTGGCTGAAGGCTCTCCCGCCAATGGTGGGGCGGGTGGGTTGGGGGACGTGGAGCAGCCAGAGCCGGCTGAGCGGAGAGAACAGGCGGGTTGGTAGGGGGTTAGGAAGTTGCAGAGGTAGGGTGGGGCGAGGCCATGGAGGGCTTTGTAGGTGAGGACCAGGATCTTGAACTGGATCCTCTGAAGGATAGGGAGCCAATGGAGTCGGGCAGGAACAGGAGCTGAATTTTCCTGGCTACAATGTATTCAGGAGGGATAGGAAAGGAAAAAAAGGAGGGGTGGTGGCAATATTGATTAAAGACATGGTTACGGCCCTGGAAAGGAACGATGTGCTAGAGGGTCCAAAACAGATTTTATTTGGTTAGAGTTAAGGAGCAGAAAAAGAGCTGTTACTCTGTCAGGTGTATAATATAATAGGCCACCAAATAGCGGGAAGGAGATAGACGAGCAAATCTGCAAGCAGATTTCAGAAAGATGTAAAACTAACATAGTGATAATGGGGAACTTCAATTATCCTAACACAGACTGACAAAATAACAGTGTAAAGGCAACGAGGGGGAAAGGATTCCTGAAATGTCTGCAGGATAACTTTCTGTGACAGGATGTTTCTAGTCCAACGAGGAAGGAAGCAGTGCTGGATCTAGTTCTGGGGAGTGAAGTGGGACAAGTGGAGCAGGTTTCAGTAGGAGACCATCTGGACAACAGTGATCACAACATCATTAGGTTTAGAGTTCTTATGGAAAGGGCCAAGGAGCAATCAAAGGTGAAGATACTCAACTAGAAGAGGCCTAATTTCAGTGAGTTAAAAAGGCACTTAGCCAACGTGGACTGGAAAGAAAGATTGGCAGCTAAACAGCTAACGAGCAATAGGAAGCCTTCAAGGAAGAGATAGGTCGGGGACAAAACAAATACATTCCCACAAAGCTGTTAAAAAAGCGTACAGCATACTAGACTTTATAAATAGGGGCCCAGAATACAAAAGTCAGGAAGTTATGATGAACCATTATAAAACACTGGCTAGGCCTCAGCGAGAGTACTGTGTTGAGTCTGGGTACCACACTTATTAAAAAGGATGTCAAAGCACTGGAGAAGGTGCAAATGAGATTTACCAGGATGGTAGTGGGAATGAGCGACTTCAGTGATCAGGAGAGGCTAGAGAAGCTGGGATTATTCTCCGTGGAGCAGAGAAGGTTAAAAGGAGACTTAATAGAAGTTTTCAAAATTATGAGAGGATTCCATAGGATGAAAAAGGAGAAACTATTTCCACTGGCGGGTGGGTCGGTAACCCGAGGACACCGATTTAAAATAGTTGTTAAAAGGAACGGAGGGGAGGTGAGGAGAAATTTTTTCACACAGCGAGTTGTTCGGATCTGGAATGCATTGCCTGAAAGGGTGGTGGAAGTCGATTCGACAACAAGAATTAGATAATCATTTGGGGAGGCTATGGGGAGAGCGCGGGGGAGTGAGATTGATTTGGATAGCTCTTTTCGAAGAGCCGACACAGACACGATGGGCTGAATGGCCTCCTTCTGAGCTGTATGATTCTATGATTTTTACTGTCCATTCGGGCACAATAATAATGTGACTACACTTTACAGTAATTCTTGTGAAGGGCTTTAAAATGCTCTCCTGACATGAAAGGGAGTTTCTCCCAGTGTCCTGGCCAACACACCCCAAATTAAAATTGGTCATTTGTACCACATTGCTGTGCGCA